TAGAATCGTTGTGATTTCAAACCGGATGCAACGGAAAAAACGACAGGTAAGAGACACAAATACAAAAATGTGTAGGATGAAGCCAGCAAAGAATGAGACAGAAATATACATACTATTTAATACAGCGCCATCTGTGAGATTTTTTNACAAATACAAAAATGTGTAGGATGAAGCCAGCAAAGAATGAGACAGAAATATACATACTATTTAATACAGCGCCATCTGTGAGATTTTTTAATACTAACGTGTGTATGAAAGCTCTTGTAGTGAATTTTAATTTAGGATTATACGTGAAATTAAAATATCAATTCACAGAGGGCGCTACCTTACAATTATTTACTAATGACGAAATTTTACATACACTTAAGACGTTTAGTATAATTGTATTTTAATTTTGGAAGGTTTCACTTCTACCACGTGTGAATTGCACACATTTTTTTCTTTATTAATATTTGTTTAAAGTGTAGTCTTGGCGAAATCTGTAATTATAGAAGTATAATGGTCTTTGACAGTAGAATCATAATAGTGTATGAACTTATAATTTCAATTAATTATAGTCGAATTTCGACTACCGTGGGACCACTAGTTGTATTAATGGCGCGCAATCACGTCGAAATAAAAGAGAAATTCACTCTAATAATTGTGACTGCATTTCCTCGTATTTAGATGGAAATCGAAAATCAATTAATGTCTCGCCAGCAGACTAGTATATTTGCGTTGGCAACACAAACGTTTGTTCAGCACTCAAGCTGGATGTTTACAGCTAGCACCAGAGAGCAAAGAAGAAAAATTCATTCGTTTCTCAAATCACGATTGCAACTGCAAAACGTTTAAAACGGACCCATCCTCGATTAAATGGTGTTGATTTTTGAAATAGCAATTAAATTCAGGAATCAAAAGCAAATGAAGCTTCGTGTTTAATTTATTACTTGGTACTTTATTTGTTGGGATAATGCGGTACTAGAAAGCAGTTTAGAAGCCATCAGGAACTATGATTTACGCTCACGCAACACTGACGCTTCGATGAGGTCAACGCTTCCAATAAATTAATGCTTAATTTACGAACTCCGACTTTAGGCATGTACAAATAAACTTGATATCACCTTGACCGATATTAGAGTTTAGAAGCTCTGAAACAGTATTTGTACATTACCTTACATTTTTATCAGACTACCCACAGCCCAACTAATCAATTGGGTACTTATTTTTTGGCCAGTAGTCTTTTTTTATTGCTTATATGGGTCGACGAGCTCGCAGCCCACCTTGTGTTAAGTGGTTACTGGAACCCATAGACATCCACAACGTAAATGCGCCACCTACCTTGAGATATAAGTTCTAAGATCTCAAGTATAGTTACAACGGCTGCCCTACCCTTCAAATCGAAACGCATTACTGCTTCACGACAGAAACAGGCAGGGTGGTGGTACCTACCCGCGCGGACTCACAAGAGGTCCTACCACCAGTAATTACGCTAAAAGCACCGAGAGTGGTTAGGGAGGAGTCGAAGTGACGTGCTTAGGATGACGGCAGCTGTGTTGCCAGGTCATCGTGTCGGTTATGTAATATGAGGCGGCAACGATAAGATGGGTATCGTGTCGCTTATGGTACCAGCGAGAAAACCCCATACCGCCAGCACATATGTGATGCTTGTATATGTGAGGTTTTCTACTAGTCGGACGTATTTGCTACCAGCACGCATAGGTACGACCGCCATACTTATCTGCCTATATCTGCCGCGAAACCGACATGTGTTTCGGTTTCAAACTCGAGTCCAAAACACATAATATACACTAAAGATTATAGAAATCACTATTTATCTTTCGGTCGCGTAATAAATAAAATCATATTCCTATATCTTCAGCTCTAATATCTTTAGTTTAAACGGAAAACAATAGGTTTTCGTTTGATATGCTAAACGTAAATATTTATCGCTTCCTTTCACGTTATGAACGCACAATTTAAAGCAAAGTCAGCTGACGGATGTCCGCACGCGTCATCTGTCACTTTCAAATGACGCGCGCGTCAGTTTTTTTTTTATGAATTGCCTTTTTCGTTATTGTTTTTTTATCAACAATCAAATATTTATTAATCAAAACCTTATGTTTTGAAGTTCATATCGACGCTTGAAAGGCAAACGTGACTAAACGACAATAACTGCTTTGTACATAAATGATAGGCAATAACCATATTTGATGCGCAAAAAAAAATATATTTCTAGGTCTATTAAAATCATTTCAATCCTACAGCTACTAGTTAGATTCTACTACAGCTAGATTCGTTAAAATAAATTTTGTTTTCAGGTATTTCAACTTTAAATTAGTCTACTGTAAAGTCCACGTATTGTCACTCAGTCACGTTTGCCTTTCAAGCGTCGATATTCAAATGTCATTTAACAACTAGTCGTTATAATGTGCAGCTATAGATAACGTGCGAAGCGCTGGAACAATTAAGAAGCCATCAGTCTTTGATGGACTGGCTAATGGCTTGCCGCGTTCAGCTAACTAGTTTGCTCCAACGAAGTGTGCTCGCAACAATCTGCGGTCAGCGTCGTGTGTACACAAGCCCTTCCAGAACTATTAGTTTTCGCTGGGTTTCACATTTTAAAAGGTTGCAACGTATATCTTGTTAACTCTTTTTTTTTTAGAGTTATTAGATTAATGAAAAACCGGAGACAGATTATGTGAGCACTAGGTTTTAACTTTGAAAACCAGTTGTGATCTAAAGTTATTAGTTCACTTCATCACTTAAATATTGCCATTCTAATTCGTTATTATTTTTAGTAAGACTCTCACTTTTATTGTGGCATATACCTACATATTAGCGACAGAGTAAATAGAACTTACAAAGAACAATAAAATGTAAACCAGGACTTGAATTAAAAAGAAAAGTGAATTAGTTCATTTTTTTTTTTAATATTGTACAATGTCCAGTTACAAAATGAACGATTATAATAAAACATTTTATCTTCATGGTCAATAATATTTTAATCTTTTTTTTACGGTTATCCAAGAGATACGCTGTTCAAAAATCAATCGAATTATTTTATATTTTCGCGGCTATCTGCATTGTTGGTTTTTTCGTTCCGATATCGAGTCGAGGGAACGCGCTCTCGCCCCCGTCACGTTACAGCCGGAGTCCCGCAAGGCTCCGCCCTCTCCCCGTTACTATTCAGTTTGTATATCAATGATAACACGACTATCTACTACTCGAGTAGGAAGAAGTCGTTGTTACATCAGCGACTCCAGACCGCAGCTACCACCATGGGACAGTGGTTCTGGAAGTGGCGCATCGACATCAACCCCCCGTAAAGCACAGCGGTGCTCTTCAAAAGGGGTCGCCCTCCGAACAGCACATTGAGCACCCCACTCCCGACTAGGCGCGTCAACACCTCCGCCTCGGCCATTCGCCCAATCACAATGGATGACCAACCCATACCGTGGGCCCCGAAGGTCAAATACTTAGGCGTCAGCCTCGACAGAGGGATGACATTCCGCCCCCACATAGACGGTACGCGACCGTGACACCTTCATACTAGGACGCCCTACCCGATGATATGCAGGCGAAGTAAAATGTCCCTTAGAAATAAGGTGACACTCTACAAAACTTGCATACGCCCCGTCATGACCTATGCAAGTGTAGTGTTCGCTCACGCGGCCCAAATCATTCAATCCCGTTTTTGCAGGATAGCCTTTGGAGCACCGTGGTTCGTCAGGAACGTCAACCTCCATGACGACCTGAACTTAGAGTCCATCAGTACCTAAGTATCTGCAGTCGGCGTCGATGCGCCACTTCGATAAAGCGGCACGACACGAGAACCCGCTCATCGTGACCGCCGGTAACTACATTCCCGATCCTGCGGACAGAATGGAAAGCAATCGGCGTCGCCCCAAACAAGTCATTTCGGATCCTCCCGGTCCACTAACGGTGCTTTTAGGTACCTCAAGCACTGGTCATCGTTCTCGTCGAACCCGTCGCTTGCGACGAAAGGCTCGACGAGTAAATTAGCCCTCAGACACAGCCCACTGAGTTTCTCGCTGGAACTTCTCAGTGAGTCGCGTTTCCGATCCGGTGGTAGATTTTGCGAAGCACGGCCCTTGTTAGGGTTCGTGTTAGCAACGTCATCAGGTTTGAGCCCCGTGATGACGTGCTTAGAGCGACGTCGACTATTTATCATTCGGTCCACGGGATCGGGTATGACCTAATCGTGTAAAACGTCTAGCAACTTCAGTAGCTGATAGAAGTAGCTATACCACAGAATAAAAGACATCCGAGTAAAAAAACCTGAATCGCACTAATATTTGTAATAATGTATTGCGAAAACCGAAAAAAATGCTGTTTTACGGGATGTAATAGACAAATAACAGAGGTTAGAATGTTTTAAAACAAAAAATGCAATCGTCCAACACCAAGCAAGCTATAAAGTATCCGAGACACCAGAACGATTAAACGCAGGATTATAATACAAAAAAATCGTTTTAGGTATGGGTTGGCTTTTGGCTTCCATTCGAAAACAACCCGTATTATGAAATATCGTAGTCTTCTTTTAAATATATAGATGGCGCTGTTATATGTTTTTGTTATTAATAGTTTGAGTGGATTTTAATTATTTAGATATTGAAGCCCACTGAGTTTCTCGCCGGATCCTCTCAGTGGATCGCGTTTCCAATCCGGTGGTAGATCCTGCGAAGAACGGCTCTTGCTAGGGTTCGTGTTAGCAATATTGTCAGGTTTGAGCCCCGTGAGCTCACCTACTAGTTCAGGTTACGCTGATACGGTATTGAAAAAATAGATGAGTGTAATATCCGTTATTTAGTAACATACATAACACATTTAATATTTAAGTTTAATACCTTTACGCTTTCTGCATGCGTACTATGTACATAACATCGAAGGCAGAGTGTAGGTTATAAGTGTAGGTAGACAAAGCAGTATAGGTATGAGAATTAAAGTTAATTTGAATTCATTTGTATTAAGTATAAAATATAATAAACTCATTTGGATTAAGTATCACAATACTTTATTCTTCAACCTTCTTATAAAACAAATGCATTTATCATCGATAAAATGTATTAACGAAGAATATTAAATAATTTATTTAACAACATTTGTAGTTCTCTCTTTACAAATAAGTTTGGATCAGGGCTTACATTGAAAACATGAATATATTATTTACATTTTTTACTCTGACTCTGTACATCAAAACCTAGTTTTGCTGAACAAAATTATGCTGAAGTCAACACAAGACTAGTGTAGTACTGTGGAACATTATAACATAAAGAACTTAACTCACAAACTTTTCTTTAAGAGCTTTTATCAAAGTCATAATTTACTACCTCAACATAACAACATATTGAAAAAGAAAACCTTATCAACCTTTGCTTTTCAGTAAAGATTGATTTTGTTATTATATAGTCTTTCCAAACATATTGTGGCTGGGTCCTTCCTGCTATTTTACATCCAATTCTGCAATAGCTCTTCATCAATAACAATAAATACAATTATAGTTTCTGTAAGCATGTTGTTTAGTTTCATACTTGGGAATGGTAACAATTTTAGAGATATTTCCCCTACACTAATGCTATACACGAGCTATGTTAACACCTCATTGATTTCTTGCAGCTGAGGCTGCCACTGAGTGGGACACTTAGTTCGAATGTGCATTATATTATAATTAATATGAATATAGAGGTTAGTATAGGGATACTAACAAAACAGTACATCCTACTGGATAAAAATTGTTTATAGGTAAAAGGGGTTTAATAATCTTTCAGCCTATAACTATTCTACACACCTACTGCAATATGTGGTCATATTAACAGGGTTGTGACAAAAAAGAATAGTTTCTTTGCCAAATGTTCACTTTAGGTGATTTTGATGGCATAATGTAGACCCCAGATTACCAATATTTCAGTATTGTTTTCTATTTAGTAATTAATAAATCTCCTGGCTCTCAATCCTTCCTCAGTAAATTATCTTTGAAAGTACTATTTTGGTTACCTCAGCACCCTATTTCGCTATTTAGTCCACTTTTAAGAAACACTTGCCTGCTTTTGATCTAGTATAATATTTAGTTAGGTAGGTAGCAAAATTGAAGCCCAAACAAACAGTTAACCGTTAAAAAGATTTAGAATTATCAAGTGCATCAATGTTATGTGATTCTGATTAATTTAATCTAAATACTGTTCACAATCTTTATTCAAATTTTACATTGCAAAATAGTCTAGTATAAATATAATTGGATACTATAATATAGTAGTAGTATAATGTACAATATACCTTATATTCCTATTACCTCTTATTGAATAACAACTTTAACTTGTATAACCTAATAAACATGAACCATCCCATAAATGAACGTCCAAAATAGTACATATGTAAATAATGCTCCAAAGAATCCATTTGTCAGAACACTCTGTCTGGTTATAAAATACTTGCTCCAATGTGGTCCAACTTTGACTAAGAACATTATCCAGAGCATTACAACTGCAAACACGTAGAATGCAAAGCCATTGAGCCCAGTGAGACCAAGAACACCTGAAAATTAAATTAAAATTTGTTAATTTTCTTTCAGCATAACTTATTAGCGTAATTGATTTTAATTGTTTATCATTAATCTTGGAAGTATTACTTCATAAAACCAAATTCAAAATACTATTATAATAAATAAAATTCTTAAACTTATATCAAGTCACGATATGATAATGAGTTTAATATAGGTATTTAATTAAACCCATCTAAATTATTATTTAACTGCTAGTAATGAGGTAATTATTGTGTATTACATGGTGGGATGTAACCATGCATTTGTTTGATGGCTATATTAAAATTAAGTACGAGGCTAATAGTACTCCATCATCAAGTTCAGTTCACTCCATAGGGCTTAATCGTCACGTTTTCTTAACGTAGAACCTAGAATGGCAGCAAATACATATAGGAATCTGGCCTCATGTTACGAATAGGTGTTTTAGAAAGTAGATAGAATTATTTACACTATGGGCACAATAACGCTTTCTATTTACGCTTGTTAGTAAAAATTTACACCTGCAGTGGATCCTGACAATGCAGCCATAGAAGTACGACAGTATTCGACAACCACCGCATTGTTTCTGAGAGCTGCTTCACTGTAAGCCACAGGCTCTGGCTTGTTTTCTTTGAATTTCGTCACAGCAGACATCCTTTCGTATGATATACACGTATATTAAATTCAATTTTACATTAGGTTCTCGTTTGATTTTATTCTAACTTTAAGTTCGAATATATTAAGTGTATAATCTATGCTTTAAGTCACAGATTAAATATTTAATATAATAAGTAGTAGTAGTTTTATTTTTCTAAATGGAAAGGCAAAGGCTTAAGGTATCATACGATACAGCCTAATCTTTTATATATTTATTTTATTTTATAAAATATGATACTATGAAATAAAATGAGATGAGATGATATAATATGGGATATTTTTATGAAAAATGATAATATGAAGTGAAATGAAATGAAGATGATTAATTTGAGACATCAATCAACAGGGATGAAATTAAATGAAATGAGATGAGATGATATGGGATGAAATATAATCTCAGTAAAATGGTGGTCATTTACTGAGATTTTTTCAATGGACTTTTTTTTTTATTGCCTTTGTAGGCAGACGGGCATACGGCCCACCTGATGGTGAGTGGTTACCGTCGCCCATGGACTTCAGCAATGCCAGGGGCAGAGCTAAGCCGCTGCCTACCGCTTAATACTCTCCACAAGCCTCGTTTGAAGAAGAACATGTCATAGCGCTCGGGAAACACCGTGGAGGGGAGCTCATTCCATAGCCGGATGGTACGTGGCAAAAAAGATCTCTGGAAACGCACTGTGGATGACCGCAGTGGCTCCAGGTAGTACGGATGAACTCTACTCCAGTGGCGGGCGGTGCGATGGTAAAAACGAGATGCTGGTATCATCTCGAACAATTCTTCAGAGCACTCCCCATGGAACATACGGTACAAAATACAGAGGGAACCGAAGTCCCTCCGCAGACCCAGAGGCTCCAAGTCCAGAGGACTTTTTGGAGCATCCCGAGAATTTACGTCCAGCGGCTTTGTTTGATTTTCGCACATTTGTGCACTGTCACAGATATTAAACAGTTAATAAACCACCGTTATTACATGTTGAAACCTGAAGAAACATTAAAAAGACAAATTAGAACAAATCACACAACTTCACTCCTCGCGTTCCCGCCAAAAAGCTCTTTTTTTAAGGGATTTTATGACTTGGTAACTAAGATCTTTAGGTCAAGTCTTATTTTAATTTGAATGAAAAAATTTTTAAATGAAAAATTATATTCCATTCGATTTTGGAATTTTTTATGGGATAATATTATTTTCCGAAAACTGATTAACTTACGACGTATTTCACTATAAACTATATAAAACACGTATTCAAATACTCTAAGTAGTGTTTTAGGACTATAACATATATTCAGTTTCTTAGAATGTAATGAAATAAATGAGCTCAAAATCACTGCGGTCTCTTATTTTACTTATTTTCCATAGTACGAAAATTTTAGTTTTTAGAGTAATAATTATTTATTGTTTTGATATTTTCTCTGATAATTAAGTAATATCAATGAAGTTACGACAGTCATGTATGTTATTTATATTATCGTAGTAAAAAATAGTCAAAGACCAATGTATGGGACATCAACATTGCGGCTATGGTCAAAAAATTTGAGAAATGCTCAACTAATATTTAAATTTGATCTATGCTGAAAATATCTGCCTACAAAATATTTCAATCTGTGAAAAATATTTCAGTTTGTTCTTAATTAAAATTGGTAGTCAATATAATTATTTACAGTTTTTGACCAACAAAATATCTATTTTAACATTTTCATTTTGATTAAATTTCTTAAAATGTACATTTCACTTGGATATGTTATTCACTCTTTAATTTAAAAAAATTGGCAAACGATCTCTTGAAAAATCTGAAGTTAGCTGTTTCTATGTGTGAGTGCCTCGCAACGTCAAAGTTTACTTCACTTTTTGTTACGCACACAGCTTAACACTATTCGTGTGTTTTCGCGGTACTGAGAGCGTCGTTCGTCTGTGGTTGAACATAATTCTCAAAATATTTAGAATAAACTACACCTATAATCAGTGTTTAATGTTATTTTTTCGTTTTAGTGTTAATTGACTTTTAACTTTTCATGCCGTAATTATATCCAAAAGCATGCGGTCTAGTGATACGAGAAATTGAGATGGCGCGTGCATGACCGTATAATATTAGGTCCTCTCCGCGTAATAAATTAGGACTTTGCTCGAACGATAATAAATCGTCAGCAAATTTAATTAATGTTATTGCATCTAGATAATTTATTGTTTATAAAAATACTGTTGGCAAATTCGATACTATTATGAGTGTTGTGAAAAAAAGGAATTTAAGTTTTCGACATTAAGAGTTTGATAGGTACAGCAAAGAGTCGGCCTTTTGCATCAATTGTGTACATCAAATCATTAAATTGAACGTCAAAATTGCACTGTGTTATCTAGTAAGTGTGTAATACATATTTTAATTCATGATTTTACGCTGTTTGTTCGATAAAAATGAATATTTTATTCAAATATTGAATTAACCTATTTGCATTGGAAAACGAAACTTCATTTTGATTCTTTTGTTTCAGAACCTTAACATAGACGCTTTGTGGCGTTCGAAATCAGTAAAAAGCGAACAGAAGTCGCTATATCTTTTTTCGATTCACGCATTTATCATGTTTTTTATACACATACACAAGTTTCTGAATACGATATCTATCTGAGTTACGTCAGCGACGCGTTCGAGAACGTTGAAGATTTCTTCATTTAAAAAATGGAAGATTCAGAAGACAATATCATGACTACTGAAGATGTCAAAAATGTGGATAATCCAACAACTGTTCGTGTTAAACCAAAGAAAAGATCCATTGTTGAGCGGGAACTTGAAACTAACTTGACTGCTAGAATAACTTCACCGCTCACAAATCGGGATAGGACAAGCACAAGTCGGTATGGTCGAGCTCGCAGACTCAAGATTGAGACTGAAGTGTCAGACCTAAAAAAGGTCATTCCTGATGTTCTAAAGAGTAATCAAAATGAGAAGTCACCAGTTAAAGCACAGTCACCTGTATATAAGATGCATGCTTCAAATTCACCGATGAAGATGGAATCACCGAAAAGGCAAATAGAGGCTTTTGTGGCCCAAGGTCAAAACAGTCAGCAAGAAAACATATCAGTTAACTGTTTTGATTCTGATGATATTTCACCAGAAAATAGATTACCTAAGATATTTGTTAGGAAAGATATAATGAAATCTAAAGACACTAAGCTGGGCAAAAATGTTTTCTCGCCAAAAAAATCCCAAAAAATTAACAGTCATCTGAACAACCTCTTGGAACGTACTTCAGCTAATTTCAATATGAACAAATCCAAAGACTATATTGAGAACTTGTCTGTGGTTAAAACTTTAGATTTTGACAGTAAAAAAAAGAAGAAAGAGAATAAAGAAAGCAAGAGTAATATCAATACAGTAAAAGAAAATAAAACTGCACCTAAAAATGAGGTGTTTGATTTAGAAGCTCAGTGTCTGTACCAGGTGGGAGACCTTGCCTGGGCTCGAATGGGTACATATCCATTCTGGCCAAGCATCATCACTAGGGACCCTTTGAGTGGGCTATTTGTAAAAAAGAAGTGTAAGTATGAACAATAGGTGGAATAAATCCAGAGATATTTCATAATAAAGACATAAGAAATGTATAGAAATAAAACCCTAAATACAATTATATTGTACTTCATTCACATGATTCATTATGATTTGTATAAATGGTAAAAAAATAACCAGAGATATTGGTACTGGCAACTGAAATCATTTAAAATGAAAACAACCATCTTAATATATTATTTGCTTTCAGTATGTATTCAAAGTCATTTTACAGTGATATAATATTAGATATGATCGTAGCTTTCTAATGAGTTTTTTCAAATCCATGCCATACCATATACCCAAGTAAAAAGAGAAAACCAGAATTCTTCATAATTTATTACATGAACTAATTTTGCAGTGTTTGGTCGTGTAGAAAGAAACATTATACATGTTACCTTCTTTGGGGACAATGGTCGAAGAAGTTGGATTGTAGAAAACATGTTGAGGAGGTTCATGGGCCTTGCTGAGTTTCAGATGACTAAAGAACAATTTACTTCAGAGGTAACTAAAAATACCATTGGTATATGGTATAATTTCATGTGCTACCAAAAATATCATCTGTAATCAAAACTTAATTAGCTCACTAAAATTTACTTATACAATATAATATTTGTTTTATAGGACAAGAAGAAAGATCCTAAATTATATTCATCATTTTCTATATCTGAAAAGAAACAGCCTTTGTGGATGACGTCAGTTGAAGAAGCTGAAATGCTTTTAAGAGAACCAAAGCGTTTACGTATTGATTTACTGAATGAAATGCTTGTCAGGTCTAGAACTTCGAAACATTTGCCTAAAGGTCACAAAAGTGGGAAAATTTCACGTGCAGATAGTGACGTTTCACTGAGCGAAAGTCTGTATGACACACTCTTCTCTGAAGATGATGGTAAACCGGATGAAGATGGGAACAATTCTAGAAAGAAATCCCTAGACGTCTCTGAAGTGGTGACGGCTTGCTTGGATAACATGGCAGCCAAAACTGGCATAACAAAGATTCAGAAGCAATCTCACATGGACAGGTGGCTGCAAAAGGCAAAGTCGAAAACACCAGAAAAGACGCAAGTAAAAGCTTTAGTTTCCGTTAATTTAGTCGAAAATAAGATGAAAAATGATTGTAGTAGTAAAAAGAACAAACAACATATTGCTGATGAAACTGTCAGTAAATCATACAGTTTGAGAAAATCGAATGAATCTCAGAATTTTTCGGAGAGTCACAGCGAACATGATTATAGTAAATTTGTTTCAGATGATGAAAGCCCTGAAGAAGGCATAGGGAAGTCGGAAAAGTTTGAATATATATCTTTAGATGAGTCCGGAAGTGGTATTGGTTTTATTGCAAAAGTCGAATCGCTCGCCGACGAAAATATCGATGAAAATTATTGTGAGAATTCTAATGGAAGTTCTGAAAATGCCAAAAGTGTTCTTGACACAGTTCCTAAATCAAATGGTATTGAAAATGATAAACCTATAAGTGAATCTAAGCCAGTGTCTTATGACTCTAGTGTTCAATTAGATTCTTGTAATGAAAAAAGTGATTCAGAGAAATTAAA